AATATATAAGAGATAAAGTGGAAAGAGATATATAACAGCTAGTAAGACGCCAATAAAAAAAGGACTTTATTAGATATTAAATTATCTTTATTATAACATTTGTGTTTAAAAGACATAACTAATTATTTATAAAAATATGGGAGAGCGGGTATAGCAGGGTAGAATTATAATAGGACCGGACAAATTCTTAGTTTGCCTTAAAGAATAGTTAATACTAATAAAATTACTCAGTACTTTTTACAAGTTACAAGAAATAACAAAATCTAGCGTAATTAATCGGTTTGTTATCTACCTTGTATTGTAAATAATTGTAAATTATTATATATAATGCTTAGATCTTGCTTTTCTTTTTAACTCGAAGAATGATGGTGTATCAGAGAGCATTTGCTGTTAAATTTTAAACATATCGTAAAATCGCTTTTGCTTGCTCAATAATTTACATTATATACATATATAATATCTACGTATTGCTAATTTTTCTTTGATAAGTGAATCCATTGTAAATCTTTATTCAATAGATTTCGTTATCCTTTTAAAGATTGTACTTTTAATTGCACTTTTGTGCGTTTGATTGCTTCACTTGCGACGCAATATTATAAGAGAATATGCATGAGTATATCATTTGTTCATTCCATTCATTTAATATTATAATTTAATAATACATTGCTATATTTATAAATTACAATATTTTCAAGATTAGTTCAAACTACAATCATTCAATATCAAACATTCATAATCATTCATGCATAATTCATGGAAGGTCACACTAGTCACTAGTACCGTGTAACACTTCCTTCATTCTCTATCACCGCATTTAATCTTTGAGGCATAGATTGCACTAGATTTTGAAATAACTCAGGCCTTGCATGCAAACCGTCCCACACATCATACATGTTGAGGATTCCACTCTTGAACAATTATGCCCTAAAGATTTTCAATTACGTTCAGATCTGGAGATTTGGCTGGCCAAGCCAACGTCTTAAGGTTGGGTTGTGTAGCCAACCAATTCTGAACTAATCTCGACCGATGCACGCCTGAATTGTCTTGAACAAAATTAACACGAGGTACTTCAAGAAACGTTTCTGCAACGTATGGCATCATCATGTTAGACAATATGTTGATGTATTCCTCGCCGTTCATACGCCCTGTGGTGCGTACCAAAGGTCCAGGACCGCGCGAGGTCATACATCCCCAAAAGGCTAAGGTGATTCGACCACTTTGTTTGCAGAAATGAACATTATTCTCATCATACCTCGTGCCCTTTGTTCTCCACAATGTCACACGCCCAGATTCATCCGTTGAGAATACTTTTTCATCACTGAAAATAGTATTCTCCCATTCATTCTCCCATGGCAAATGTTCAAGGGCAAAAGCCATCCGTTGCTCTTTATGTTGTTGCGTTAAAATTTCTTTTTTAGCAGGAACATGATGATTATACCCCTGCTCTCGCCATCTACGCCGAACAGTTTCCGCGCAACAATTGAAAGGGATTTCCGATACCGTTCGCCGTGCTGATCGGAATCCATCCTGTCGTATTAATTCTAATAAATATTGGTCGTCTTCTTCTAAAGTACAGCGCGATCGACCTGGTATAGGTCGTGGGTCAATATTTCCCTCCACTTCATTTTGTCTTATCAATCGATAGATAGTACTCCTCTGTAATTATTATTATTATTATTCGTGGCACATTAAATAGCAAATTATAATAAAACTATAATAAAAATAACAAACTATAATAAATTTGTTGAGATAGATTTACATGTTTTTCCCTTCTTTAAAATTCTTGCGGCACACTTAGAAATTCTTAGCGACACACCGGTTAAAAATTCTAGTACAGATAATAAATACAAAAATTAAAATAGCTTTATTGAATTATTTATTTGTGTAAGTTGCAATTAGTAATTAAAATAATACATATAATACATGCTTAACTTATACAAATAAATAATATTACAGTAGCTTGTAATTATAGCAATAGATGGTAACGAATTCTTACATGAACATGGCATAATCTAGAAATTTCCGTAACTGTCAGTCCTACATTTGCGTATGCAAGTATTTCGCCTCTAACTCGTTGCGAAATAGGACCAGGCATTTTATCCAATTCTGATTAATTCTAACTGACAGGCTGTAAACCTTTCTTTTACGCTAACCTTTTTAACACTATTATAAGTTATCAACGTTATTAAAACAATTGAAAGAAAGCAGGCTTGTCGTTAATGATGTCTAGTGTGCCATGAAAATTTTAAAAAAGGAAAAATCATATAAATCTATAATTGCGCATAAGGATTTGTTCGGTCCTATTATAATTCTACCCTGCTATACGCGCTCTCCCATATTTTTATAAATAATTAATTATGTCTTTTAAACACAAATGTTATAGTAAAGATAATTTAATATCTAATAAAGTCCTTTTTTTATTGGCGTCTTACTAGCTGTTATATAAGTCTCTTTCCACTTTATCTCTTATATATTTATGCCAAAAAGTACCTTTACAATCACAGATTATTTTGCATATATAATATAATAATTAA